CATCAACAGCAAAGGTTAACACACACACACACACACACACACACACACACACACACAAATGCATTAATACACGTAGAATCAGGAGGGTACCCAGAGTAGGAGTCCCATATTATCAAGGTGCTTTTGGGGCCCAGGTCTGCTGTTGCAATCCAGCGTCTGTCTTCACTCACACACATACATGAGATGGGACTGAGGTGACCCTGAGAAGATTCAACATACACTGTATTTAAATCAACACTGCTGCTTACATGTAGTATTAAAAGATACCTGCAGGTTACTTACACCACTGAGTATATTATACGTTGTTATAGACTTTATTATGTAGACCGTGGCTGAACTGATGTTTACCTGAAGTATGTGCTGGGAGTTGGAGGTGTGATTGTAAATGATCCCAACATGAGCTCCAGCGTAGAGGACCGCCAGCTGATCGTGGTCTTGCAGACTGAAGGCAGGAAGTGAAGGATTCATCCCAAATACCCAATCCAGTGACTGAATAAAGAGCACATTTGCAGTATTGTTATAATCCAGTTTTAATGAATTAACCCTTTTATCTAAAGCAGGATGTTGTGTTTGAGGTGCAGCTGCAGGGGTTAATATACAGGTAGCTCCCAGTTGGACACATTTACACATATTTACCAGTGAGTGTGTCCTAGTTTGAGTTATCGTCTTATTCTTTGGGAAAAGTGTGTCTCTGGTTGCAGTGTAGACCTGAGACTGTCCGCTCATCTTCAGTGACTCAGCCTGTGTTTCTGCTCCTGAAGCCTCCTCTTTACCGTCAGGATCTGACATGATGTCTAACACACACACACACACACACTTCACGGTTTGGATGATTAATTTTCTCTGTTTAACAACTTTCATTAAGGTTTTTTTCCCCTTGTTATGTCGCTTAAATTAAGATAAAATGCTCTTTGTTGCTCTAACGTTAGCGTCTCGTTGCCTAGTTACCGTCGAGAGAGCGTTCCGGACATGCATTTCAAATTAAAAGCACGATTACTGACAGCTGTAAGTTACCTGTTACTTTCCCAAAAAGAGATTATAACTTACATGCAAATATCACATAAAGTATGATGCATTGTCGCTCAGATGCAGACACTCTGTTGCCCCCCCCCGGGGTTGTCAAAGTGGAAATTAGTCAGTTAGTTGGTCAGTTAATTTAAATTTAGTAACATATAATAATAAATATATACTAAAGTAAAATACAATCTAAACTAAACTACTGTATGTGCGGAGGAGTTAACCGAGCACTACCAGTGCTGTAGCCAGGATTTTAAGGTTAGGAGTCCAGTTTCCCCCAGCACCCCACCTTTATTCACTGAACCGCTAATTTGACATGATTTCAGATGTTTACACCAGTTCAGAAAATTGAACAAATAGACCTTTTCTTTGTGGTTTATGGATTGGTTTACACCAACACAACTATACAAACCTATTTAGTTGTGCTGTGCTTTCCCACCTTACATCACTAGTGACAAACACAGCCAGCTGAGCCACTCCACCCACTGGAAAGTTCACTTTAGACCACAAAAAGCCTTTAACAACAAATAAAAATGGCAAGGAGCGGAGTAGCCTATTGACAATGTATCTATTTTTTTGTCACTGCTGTAGATTTCCCCTCATTATATTAACTGAAAAGAGAGGGCACTTTGGAGTCTGGGGCAAAAGGGCAGGGGCTCAAGCCCCATTTTGGGTCTGGTGCATGTAGTCCATGAAAAGACGAAGGCCAAGAGCGGAGCGAATAATGTGAAACTCCACATTGCTTTCTGTCTGAACACACCTTAAGAATTATTTGTCATTTTATATTTTACATTAATTGTTCAATTTTCTTTTATTTCTATTAAATTCTGCATAATTTGCTGTTCCTCAATTTGACCACTGGCTGGCAGTAAAGTGTCATAATTCTGATCCTTTTAACAAGTGTTAAAGTGTGAACAGTGTTTGAAAACTTGGATACTTCTGTCAGGATTAAGTTAACTATGTACATTTAGACAATCTGGAAACATTTTCAGCTTAAGAAAACAGATTTTGAAGCCAAGAATTAAATATATTATGAAAATATTAAGCAAATAAGAGGCATGATATGTCATATGTTGTGATTTAAAGGAAAGACAGAGACAGTGGAGAGGTTACTTCTAGTTGAGGATGTCTTAACAGAAGATGACATGCAGACAGATGAACACAAAGAACCATAAGCAGGAGATTAAAGGACATCTTTAATAATTATAGTAGCTATAATACCTATTTTAAAAACACTTCTTACTAAAACGACAATGAACACCATACGTATTTAAAACCACAACCTCTCTCTGTATTTTCCCACTGAAGAATGTGTAGTCTCTCAAACTGTGAACACTTGACAACAATTATAATTTCTATTAGTTCATAATTGCTCCAGTTTCTGTCACTGTATTTTGAAAGTATTCAACCGGATGTCTTACAGTGTCTTCAGTGACGTGGTTAATTAATTAACGTAAATTAATTGTGTTGCAGTTCCTCCCCGTGAAAATTATTATTATTAATTATTCTAAACCATTTTAATAAATTGTAATTATTGTTTTGAAGACTTTACTCTTGATAAAAAGTAAGTAAGTACAACGGCGCGCCACTAACATCAAGTTAGATACAATATTATAAACAATACTTCCGGTTAAAATTCAGAATAAAACTTTTATAACGAACAAGAGTGTGGTTGCGCACTGTGGCCGCTAGAGGACAATGTACATTCATGACCATGACAACCATCAAACCAAAGGGCATCAGAGGCAGACTTAATGGCATAATGTTATTCCATTAGACACATTGGAAATAAAATGTAACACTAGGTAGAAGATGTGTTGTAGTTGTTGTTTTTGTTTTCATTTCCGCGATACTTTTGCTTTGAAAGGGTCGATATCGCGTCACTTCTTCCAACTTTACAGTAGTTTCCACGAGGCTATTTTCCGGTTGCACAGGTTTGAAAGCAGCTGATTTTCTGTCTGCGTGTCGTGCTGTCAACTTTATTTTTATTACTTCATTTAGTGCCTCTTTTCGCTTCCTCTGTGTCCGACCTTCGTCAGAACATTTACCAACATCTGAAGGATTGTCGTCGGACGAGTTACGATGAGTTTGTGACGGTAAAGACACCGGAAGGTGGCGAAAAAAAAACAACAACGATCCGATAAGGAAGCGGTTAGTTATGATTTCACCAGCTGACAGGTGAGGAGGCGTTTTTAAATGATTGGGACCTCATCTTAATGGATACTCTGCTTGTTTTTAGTTGAAGTTGAATCAGTTTAAACACTTAAGTAATAGGTTAATAGGTTAACACTTAAATGGTTGCCACTCGACGTTTGCTTATCTCAAATCCCCTCAGCTGACAGTCAGCCGCCGCCGAGCTCTCTGTGAGCCAACCATCAGCTCTCATAAACTGTGACTGTTCTCTTTTTAATGGACTGCTTGCACTGAAGAAGACATTTTGACTTGTGGACTAGTAAGAGCAACCATGGCTGAGTTCCGTTTAGTGGAGCGGCCTCCACAATGAGCAGGACTTGCTCTAATTGGTATGCAGCTGTCATTAATACACTGAGTTTCCATGTGTGCTGTGCAACCAGTCCAAAGGGGATTTAATCTGCTCAGCGGTCACTTCAGCGTCTGTGAACTCATTGTGTGTCCAAATAGAGTAAAGTAGTTAATAGCCAGTCACATGAAAGAGATATATATGTAAAAGAAAGTCACTTATAATGAAACTTTGCATTATAAAGTAGTTTTGTAGTAGTGTTTTGACAACATTTGCTTAAAATAATAATTAGCTTTTTTCTTTTTGTTCTGAGAGCAAAATGTATTTTTTAATTTACCGGATAACAAATAAGTTGGTTATTTATATAGTAACTTTTCTTGTAAATAATTAATATACACAATACAATATTTGTTTGTAAAGTGTTTTTGAGTCTTGTTAATTAAAGTATCTGTAGTTTTCATACAAGTACAATCTCACAATATCACAATTCAAACCAGTTTAACCAAAATCACTGTCTGCGTGATACACAAACTGGACTACAGTGAACACTAAACCTCTGAGGTTTAGACCCTTGCAGTCACAAACTCAAGACGAACTGAGTTTCATTTAAACATCAGACCCACAGAGTATTAAACTCTTTTTGATTGAAGTATTATTATTATTATTATGTCCAACAGGTAGGAGTAGTATACGAGAGAGCTCTACAATGTGGACAGACAAGCAAAGAGGAATCCGAGTTTCTCAGGAGGAGCTGCTCTGCAAGAACGCCTGTGGATATTATGGAAACCCTGCGTGGCAAGGCTTCTGCTCCAAGTGCTGGAGAGAGAGAGCACGTACGGCCGGAGCCACAAGGCAAGACGCAAGGTAAACCCGCTGCCGTTAACCACCATTCACACTCAAAGGAGCAATTAGATCTGGTATGATGTGAACACGGTGGTGTCTCTGTGTAGATACATTCTTGTCACAGCTTCTTAAAAGCAACACGTGATGGAAACTTCATCGTTGGACCATTTGTGATTACCTGAATAGACGTCGGAGGACATGATTTGATTTAGGAAGTTAATATTTGTACTGATAATATATGCTTTATTACGATAGCTATCTTCTAAATATGAACTTAAAACAACTTAAGTGCTTTTTGGTTTGTGGTTTGTTTAATGTTGTCATTCCTTTGTAGGCCGAACAATGATGGAACTCCTGTCACCTTCTCCAAATTTGAGGAGAAGAAAAGCACTGAGAAAGGTCGTCGTATTAACACCATGCGGAGGCTCTTCTGGGGCAGCCCATCGCCTCCAAAACGTCAAGGTAGTTCAGTTCAGCGTTACCAGTTCACTTCATGTAATAAAAGTATGTGCAAAGTGTTTGGTTGTGTTGTTGTAGAGTGAAAATCCACCCACCAAAATCCATGTTTGGTTCAGACAACAGCTATTGTTGCAGACAAAAGCCCTAAAATGATGAACACAACTAAGAGAGCTTGAAAGAAAAACAAAAACAGAATAGAAAACTGCAAACAGTTAATGGCTTATTATTATTATGTCTCTTGATCTGACAAAGTCTGTTAATAAAAGCAGAAACTTTTACTTGCTGACCTTTCTGGTCATTGCCTATGTATCAATAGTAGATTGTTTCACATAAACCTTTACAATTTCCAGTAAACCAGCTAATTTAGAAATCCTCCTCCATATGACAGCCTTAGACAGGAAACATCATGAATCTAAAATCATCAGACAACAAAATCTGACCAATACCAGGTGTTTTCTTTCATTGGATATTGTACAGGTAGACTTCCATGTGCATATGAATGGGTAGTGTGGTTGACTTATCACTGCAGGTTCACAACCAACCTCCCAGCGATTGAACCTGAATATCTGTGGTCATCTTTGCCCCCTCGACACCTGTGTGCTCTTTTGATTCACTGTTTTACCAAATGCAGTAACTGTTCCTACACTGTTTCAACATTATGTTGCAGATTTAAACATGTCACTTCATTTATTAATCTGGAATAACGCCTACTTTGTCTCTCTAGAGTCTGAAAGCTTTACAAATGTGTTAAAAGCCTACCAGACCCTCGAGCCTGGGGACTTCACTGGTTTCCTAAAGATACTTCGAAGCCCTTCCTCCCAGCGCCTGCAGTCCCGATGTACAGCTTTCGTCAACACAGTGGAGGCTTACCATGTAATTATCTGTTTTAAGTTTAACATGGCACTTCTTATAACCTCTCTTTTGTATACCAGAGCTGTTCTGATCACACATTGTCTGTTCAGGATCTGCCGGTGCAGAAGCAGTCAGACCTCGTGCAGGATTTCTACCAGTCTTTTGCTGAATATTTTAGCAGTGAGTACAGATCAGTTCAACACTTCTTGGGCTGTTTATTCTGAAAACGTGTCGACATTAGTTGACTTTTGAGTTTTTGTCTTCAGGTTTTCCCGAGGCTCAGGTCACTCAGATAATGGAGCATGTGGAGAAGTTAATAATGACACGGCTGCACAAATGGGTTTTCTGCCACGACAGCTGTGACGATGAGCAGAAGGACCTGGCTCTACAGAGGAGGATACGGTAAGTCACCTGTGCTGTGTTTGATCCAAACATCTAACCTGAAGCCCTGTTTGACCCCGATGTCTTTACTTTGCAGCTCCTTAAACTGGGTTACTCCACAGATGCTGAGTGTACCTTTCCCCGATAAAAAGACTACAGTCACCAGCGACCCCTTTCTGCCTGCTATAACAGGTGATTCACAGCTTTAGTACTAAAAAGAATAACTTAACATGTTGTTTATGCACTTTCTGGAGGAGAAAATCAATATTACTCTCATCTCACTGGAAGATATAAGACATTTTTACATGGTTTTAGTTTTTGGGATTGATTAAACAATTGCAAAGGCAGAATTCGTTTGCTTTGGACAGAGCCGTTGTTTTTAATGCCTTTTTATACTGTTATAAGCTATTGGGCTGCTAGCTGTAGCCTTTTATGTAATGGACAGATGTAATAGTGGTATTGATCTTCTCATCTAACTCTCCACCAGAAAGCAAATAAGTGTGTTTCCCAAAACTACTCATTTAAGCTCATGAAAGTAAGTGGTATGTTTCCCCATTTGCTGTAAACATAATTTCTGAAATGCTAGTGTTTGACTTTTTTTTTTTTATTTAACAGCCATAATTGAGATGGACGCTAAACGAGCGCCTCAAGACAAACTGACATGCGTGTCCAAATGCAGTCAGCATGTCTTTGAAGCCCTCTCCACCTCCAACACTGAGCCCGCTAATGCCGATGACTTCCTGTCAGGCCTGATTTATGTGGTGCTGAAGGCCAATCCACCTCGCCTGCACTCCAACATGCAATATGTGATCCGTTTTGGTCTCCCTCACAGTCTGATGGCAGGAGAGAGCGGCTATTATTTCACAAATTTGGTAAGTTTTAAGTTACACATCCAGCGTACATTACAGGATGCTGTTTAATGAGGTCGATTGATCACTCTTGCCTTTGCCCTTGTCCCCTGTTTTAGTCTTGTGCGGTGGCCTTCATTGAGAAACTAGATGGCCCAGCACTCAGCCTCAGTCCGGAGGAGTTTGAGGGCTACATGCTGCGTCAGCGTGCTCCCTCTGTAGGAAGCAAGAGGAAGGAGGTTGCCAGTGACACACAGCACCTGTTGGACGAGCTACAAGGCAGACAGGAGAAGCTGGACCAAGGGATGGATGCTCTCAACGTGCAGCTACAGAAGTGGGTCCAAGCTGTTCACTCCCAGCTGGATGAGGCATCAGCGCAGTTGGCTCTGGTGCAGAAGGAGCTCACGGCTCAGGCTGAGCTCTCGCCGGGTTTCTCATCCTCGTCTGATGATGCGTCAATGCAAGGGGACGACAAAGACCAGTCGCTGCTGGAGCTCAAGGATCTTAATGCAGGTCCAAAAGATACAGACTGTTAGCTATATAAATAATAATCTGGTACTTGAGTCGTTTTAATCATCAGCACTAGTTTATGTAGACTGCAAAACAAACAGATTTATATTCCAACAACAGAAAGCTGGGATTTGTTAACTAGGTGAACATGAAGGAAAACTATTAGTACTGATATCACAGAGCACACAGGATTTATTTAATGACTTTGTTAAACAATTATTTGCACTTGTATCCTGTTTCAGGATGAAGGCCATTAACAATACATTTATAGTAACAGATGTGATCAGATTAATATTTAAAGCACTCAGGGTACACCTAATACTGTAAGAGTGCTTATTTAATATTCACTTTTTTTCTCATATTGTATACCAATGTGCCTAAATATATATAGACCACTGTGAAATTAAAAATTATGCTACAGGAGAAAATGTTATATAGCCGTTGAAGACCACTACAAGTCGGGGGGTGTATTTAGTCCAGCCATGTTTTTCATAGTTGTGTACATTGTTCTCAACATGCTGCTGCCTTCACTGTCTGTGAAACCTGGTGCAAAGCAATTAATAACACATTTTACCATCTTGCGTTGGTGTGCGGGAGGTACACGTTGTTTACAGCTGTTGAAAAGAAGTAGATTAAAAGAAGTAATTAAAGCGGTGTATGTTATGATGATGATAATGATTGTATCTAATATATTAAAGTTGACTTACCTGATTTAATATTGTGTGTTTTTGTGTTTTCCTTGATTTTTTTGGAGCAGGTAATTCTTTGTAGAACATTTGTTCTGCAGTCGAATATTAAAATATTAGGTATGTGAATGGTTATATCCAGTGTTTAATTGATTTTGATGTGTTCTTGAACAATGAAAACTGAGTGTAAATGTCTGTGTTTGATGATTTGAACATTTGACAGGGGTGCTTTGCTGTGGGAAGTGAAATAGAGGTGTTGTAGACATTTTTTATGTTTAATGTTGATTGATGGATTGTGGAAAATAAATCTTTAATGAAGGGTTTTTTGGGCCCAACCACCATCCTTCAAATATTAAAGGAAAAAACTTTATCTTTACATGTTTTTCAACTGCTTAGTGAGTATACTATTACATGTTTATTTGTTGTTGTATGTTTTAAACAGTACTCACTTAACAATATTCTCTTTTCTTTTTATTATTGTTCTTCATGTTTATAAATGATCTCAATAACTTTTAATTATTTAATTTTCATCTGTTTTGATGGTGACTTTGTAACATCTGTCGACAGACTACAAATAAAAAAAAATAGCCTCTTGGCGTATTTACAGCATTGTTTAGTTCTATTTAATTATTACATTTACAATTACAAGTTAAAATAAATAAATGAATAAAAGAAGGATTGTGGCTACAACACTGCAACTGTTTATTTTATCAATGACCAATCAGGTGCATATATATATATACTTATATATATATATTTATATATACTGTTAATGAGTAAACCACAATGTTTTCATACATTGAGTCAGTTTAATTTACACTACCGGAAATACAATGCAAACCACCCCCAATATTCATCTGTTTTATACTGAATTACAATTTCTCTTTAACTCTTTGTTTCTAAATTATTATCAAACAAGAAAGATATTAGGACACCTCGAATAAATAGAAAAATAGATACGATAGATAAGTTATATACTGTATATTTAATATTACATCTCCCTCGTACATTTGATGATGTTAAAATTTTTTATTTATTATATTTATATGTTTTATTATTTGTGTATTTGTTTATTATTGTTAATGCTGGTGGGTCAAAATTATATTTTTCGATTGTATTGAAAAACGTGTACAATGTTACGCAATGTTTGTACATTTGAAATTTGATCAATAAAAAATATAAATAAATAAACAAATAAACAAATACCGGAACCGGATGTACGCAGTCAGTTGAGCAGCGATGAAGATGACGGGGGAAAACAGTTCTGGAAAGTCTGAAATAACAATGGAGGATGTTAAAAACCTTGTTAAAAAGAAAGATGAGCTTGAAGAGCAGATAAAAGCTTATTACGATGTTTTGGAAGACGTGAGTGTTACTGTCAGTGATCATTCAGACTGCGCTAAGATAACACAAGGCCGCAGGCTTCAGCTACTAGTGGATGTGGCTCACGTTAGCTATCTAACATAAACATGTCTTTATATGTCTTTATATGTCTTTACATGTCTTTATATGCCTCTATATGTCTCTTTATATCTCTACATGTCTTTATATGTCTCTACATGTCTTTATATATCTCTATATGTCTCTTTATATCTCTACATGTCTTTATATGTCTCT